ATGACAAAAGCTCATTGAAGGTGATCAGATGGGTAATTAAAATTAGAGCTGATGTTTTAAACTTAAATTATAAACACTTCCAGCAAACAAATTATAATTGTAGCATGTGTAATACAAACGAAACAGAAGATCTCTATCACTTCCTGGCTGTTTGTCCGATACTCTCTGAATTTAGAATTAAATGGTTAAAGTCTAGAAATTTATCTCGGGATCAATTGATTTATTAAATGGAAACAATTGGATAGCATTGGTAAATTACTGCTTTCTCCTATAGAATAATGCTCACCAGAGAATTTAAAAATTAATAAATTGGAGAATTTTGGTACCAATATTTTTGTAATTTAAATATTTGTATAACTTTTACATTGTAAATATAATTGTTCTTATTTTCCTATTAATTAGTTGTATATAAATCGATTGAAATATAATTTTGTTATGAAACACAGACTCCTCTGACGGTCAACAGACCATGTAGTCTGATTTTCGGTTTTAAATCCAAAAATATTATTTCGTATTGTTTTGTAATTTTGATAAATAAAAAGACTTTTTCTTCTTCTTCTTGTTCTTCTTCTACATATTAAGTAATCTTATAATTATGGATGAATACATAGAAAACGGCGAAGTTTACCTTATTGGCTTACCGATTTTTTTGTTTAGTTTATTTTTATAATTTTACGTTACTCATTTCTTTATGACTGGTATCTTAGTGAGGTAGACAAAGTTGTATCACACTTTTATATATAGTTTATATTTAATTCATTATTTATTAAAAGTCATTTCCTCGACAGAGACGTGTTGTCAATGTGAGAGGGACAAATATCAGTTTGCAATCGAAATTATTTATGTATTCTTAAGCAAATAACCTTCAAACTTATTTAATAAATTAATAAGCATATAAAGATATCACATTTTAGTTATTATCTTAGGTTTTTTATTTTTAAAAAAAAAACTTGTATGTAAAAATAATTCAAAATTAAATTTCTCTCTCAGGATTTTTCCGGAGATAAGTGGAAAATAAATTCCAACATAATCTTGATTGATCATCCGTCAATAAATAAAAGGAATTGTTTCTTCCACAACAATTTTTTTACTATTATAATTATTAATATATTTATATTTATATGAAATCAATATGATTGATGTATAATATTTATATTTGTTGACAGGCCAGCCAGTAAAACACTGAGATCGCTTGACTTGAGCTACAATAGGTTGGAGCAAGTTCCTTATGACGCTCTGCATCCGCTCACCAATTTGGAATGGCTCAACCTGCACAGGTAATATTACCTTATAATTACTCCCTAGCAACCAATTACAGCCTAGTCAAAAATTTCATGCGAAAAATTATTATGTTTCGATGTCGATGAAAATTCGTATTTTAGAGATTTTCAGAGTGCGAAAAACGAATATCAAATTTGTTTCTCTCTAAAAAATACATTATTCTTGATACTCGGCCGATTTTATAAGAAATATTTTATTTGGGATATAGCCATCGTATGGAAATACATTTGACCAACTGACGTGGGTATGTGGGTGTAAATATTTTTTTAAGGGGGAAACAAAATTGATATTCGTTTTTTACACCCCAAAAACATTAAAATACGAATTTTCGTAGCAATCGAAACTTTCTTGCCAACCGAGAAAAATGGGGTAACTTCAGAACGACTCCACCAAATCATAAGACTACCGTAAACAATTTTGTTTTTTTTTAAATCTTTTATTGATAAATGATATATTTTGCTTCTCTTAAGGCCACTGAGTACTACAACTGAATGAGGCACATTCATGCCAAGATCTATATAACAAAGTCAAAAACTATAATGAAACTAAAGAAATGTAACTTGGAGTTAAAATTAAATAAAATACAGAAATTCATAGCAAAAATAAATAAATTATAAGTAAAATAAATAAATAGATAAATGAAAAAATAATAAAAATAAATAAAAATAATAATAAAAAATAATAATTTACTTTCTCTTTTTTATTATTGTTTTATTTTGGCCAGATGTAGTATTTAAATTATGTTCTATTTTGTTATTCTAAAGGGACATTGTCCCAGAATAAAGTTATTTTCTATTTCTATTTCTATTTTCTATTTTCTAAAAGATTTAAGAAAGAAAAACATTCATGCTTAATTACAATATTTACAATCAGTCGAGGGAGCTCCGACTCCCTTCACTGTGTAAATAACATGTTTTAAGGTTAATTGTTAATGACCTTTTTGGCGAATAGCCTTCCGCTTTATATCCGGGAACTAGGTTATTTACACTCGTGAATATTAAAACAAAACCCTGGTACTGGATATAGACTTTTTGACGGTGTTTAACTGTCGTTAGGAATTTGGGAATCTAATACCTTTTGTAACACTGAGTGAGAAGAAACAATAAGAATATATATATATGGAATTTGTGCCTTATTAAATAAACTTTAAATGAATTGACTCACCAGGTTTGTTATTCTTCAGTTGTGAGGCATATAGGACAACTAAATAAAATGACTTTTTACTGTTTAATAAAACAATTCATTTTGACAACTATAATAAATGAATGTATAAAAGTCTTATAACTGTAGTCTTCAATGTAGTAAGCCTCTCTTCCCAGATGACGTCTTCTCGTCTTCGTGTCCAGGCCCTCAAGTGTCTTCCCTTCTCTCCAGCTGCTGCTACCTGACCGGACCTTTTTCCTTCTTCATCGATTGTTTATCGATATGAGACTTTTCAATGAACAATGTGTCCACTGCACAATTGAGTACAATTCACAGTGCAACATCACATTCCTATATATTCCTTCTCATTCCCTCACCCAATGTCGCATAAAAGAGTAAATACGGGAGGATTTCTACTACACCCCCCACGTCTGGAGGACAAGGCAAGATTCTAAGAGATTAGAGAACTACTCTCTCAGCCACGTCACCGGCATTAGAGTCCAGGGGAGACTAAGAGTGGGCACTAAAGCCACAGACGCTCATAACTGGAGTGGAAAGGCTGGCCATTGCCAGAACTCCTGTGACGTCTTTACAGTAGATCTCGAGTCCACTGTCGTTTTAACCGCCGAGAAGGATTTTAGGGATGACTGGAACTGGATAAGGATTGTGCTAAGGGCTTAGGATTATGGATTAGGTTTAGGTAAAAATTTTGGAATTGAGATGGAATAATGTCAAGGACATAAGAGATTTAAAGGTCATGATGTAAGGCTTTGTTCGCAACATAATAAGGAGCAATGACTATTATACGGAAAACTTTGGACTGGAAGAATTGGATGCGTTAGTTTCCTCCCACAGTTCAAGTCCGTAAAATCAAATCTAGATGAGTTTCAGTATGGTCTTGTATATTTGTCGGTTAAGTTCGTCTCTTTTAAGTACGGTATGTTAGTCCATGTTAGTCGTAAACAAATTAAAATCAATCATATAAAATAAAAATTCTTTAGAAGTTGTTCTAAATTTCTAGCTTGAATAAGAATGAATTCCAAAACCTGTTGATGTAGTTTGGAAAAACGTCTGTTCTGCTTTCTAACGGTTGTACTAACATTGAATTTGGATAAAATCTTGAGATGTTATGCATGCTTTAGTTGACGGCCTCAAAAACTAGCCCTCTAGAAAATCAAGTACTAAAATTTTCAAATTTTGATATCCATAAAAAGTCTTAAAACGAATGTAACTTCCTTTTTAATAGCAAAACTTCAAATTACCTACTTTACTGGAAGTTCTTTTTAGTTTTTGTTGTTTAAAATACATCATAACTTCTAAATCTAAGAACTAAAGTTCTAAGTGAAACTCCTTGCTCAACACACCTCTCTGAAGAAGAACTGCAAAGTTGGGTCGAAACGTTGGTTTTTAATGAAATAGTTTTGCCACTATTTAGTCTATTTATGACCGCCACCCCGGACCATCTTCTTCCTTAATAATACAACAGGTCAACTATTAAGTATTCAATTTAAAATTAATCCTTGCACTTCGATTTAAGTACTCTCACTTCGTGAATTCTTTTTTTCTTTTTATATTAAAGTCTTCAACCATTAGGTTCATTATTGCCTTATTTTCAGTGAGAATTAGATTATATTTTCAAGTTTCGAACATTTCAGAAAAGAAAATAATTTGTCAATTTCATTTCCATTGTCCTAATTAGATCGTAGGCAGAATACCCCTAGAGTACTCCTTTGCTAATTGGGAAAGGCTCAGAAAGGTATGATCCAATTTTGACCTGGCAGGTGCTTCCTTTGTACATTTTCTTTATTATAACTATCAGACCTATATTAATGTTTGCATTTTGGAGGGCTTGCCATAATAGTCTTCGAGGGACACTGTCATACGCTTTCTCCAGGTCTATAAATATTACCTCAATGTCTCTGGAAACGGTTTTATGTTTCTCCAACAATCGCCTCAGGATTAATCCACATTGGTCTTCTGAACCCTTTAACCCTAATTGCTCTAATGCTCTAATTCGTTTCTTATAAGTTTCTCTAATATTTTGGCAAAAGAGTTGGTAACAAAGATTTTTCTTGTTTTGTTTTTTTTAAGTCACAAGATAGTCTAAATGTTTCGTAAGCTCTACATTCTGTTAAAATGGGTTTCACTATCAGAGGAGTCCCACAGGTTTTGCATGTTGGTGAAAAATCACGGGCCATCAGGTATCCATGAGTAAGGCTTATATGACCTTTACGCAGGCGCGAAAGAATCACTTCCTCTCTGCGCTTATTCCTATTTGACGATGCCCAAGAGGAAACGTCACCGTGAATTCTTTAAGAAGTTACTATATACCGATAGTTAAAACTGTTAGATTATAGTGAACAAAAAAAATAATTGTTTTTTTCTAAAAAAATATATTTCGAACATAATATATCTCATTTAAAAATTCGTGGTGTTTAGTTAGTAAAAACATTATTAGATTAATTTTGTGGCTGGTATAAAAGAACGAATGAATCTACTGGGAATCGAAAAAGGCTAATCAATTCAGACCGAGTGGTATTGAAATGGATCACTAAAGTTAGCGGACTGAGGGACCGATGGGTCACTGCAACGGCTTTCCAATGGGAAGCCCCTGGTGGCCGAAAAGAAGGATATCCAATATAATGCTCAAATAAGGATGTATCCAGGCCCAAAAAAAAAAAAATATATATAAGCTTTATTTCTATTATTTTTAATATAATAAATAACCATCATAAAAATAAAAATCTGGCGCGGGCAACACACAACTTTCACTTACCACTCTACTTTGAATAGAAATTATTTTCTGGCAATGTTAAAAATTCCAAAATTTGTCATAATATGACAAAAATTCCATATTGTACTTCGGCTTTTAATCTGGTCGGGTATTTTTCTTGTCTGTTCTCTTAGGTATAGGGGTGATCATTTAATTTAATTTTAAAACATAGTTTAATATTAATTTTTTTTTAAATGTGTATATATTATTTTTATTGTTTTATGTATTTATTACGTATATTGTTGACCATTTTAGATTTTATATTAATTTGATAATTGGGACTAGTTTAACTGTCTGACCTTCACCGAATATAATTTTTAATTTATTCTTAAGAGCGTTGTAATGTCTGTTATTAGTGTTGCCCAAAATCGGGCTTGGTCTTGCGAAGTGCCTAACTGTTGCAAGACCAAGACTAGGACTGGTAAAAAAAATCGATTATTTTAATAAAAATTGAGGCAAAATAGTTACTAATACTTGACAATCTTAGTTATTATATGTTAATAATTGGTAAAACCAATATACTTTTGTATTAAACTCCTCTAATTTTTCATTCGGGCTTAATTAGGTTTCTTCTATCTAAAAAATTACAGTAATATCTCTATAGTAATAAGCTAATAAGTAACTGCAAGACTGCTGCTAGACTCTTGCGCAAGACCAAGACCATGACCAAGACTGAGTTTGCAAGACCAAGACTCGCCTCGGTCTCGCATTTGGGCAACACTATCTGTTATGTAGTATGAAAAGCAATTTGTATTTCCATAAGCAGAATAATGTTTGTTATTTTGTGATAGACTCCATTTGTATAGGATTCTTGTCTGAAAACAAATAAAGATCGATTGATGTATTTTCTCCTCGCATATTTGTCTGCTTTGCTTTTTAGTCTTGCCTGAAACCGGTACAGGAATAATGAGTAGCAAAACAGTAAGTTTCCTCATAGTTCACTTTGTGTTCCAGGAACAGTGATCTATCTGATAAATAAATTAAATATTTATAAATTGATATAAACCGTTATCTATTCATTTTCATTCATAAGGTTAGTAAAGACAGGATTCCGTCCTTTTTTCATCAAAACTCACTAAGTCTTGTTATTTCTCTTCTGAAACGATCTGTTGCTAACTCCTCGCTTTCCAAAGAGATTGTTTTGTCCCTCCTTCATCCTCTTTGGACTTAGCGCTTTGATGCTTCTCCTAAACATCGCTATTTAATCATATTAAAAGGAGCTTACAAACTACCTAATTAGTACTCGTGCAGAACAAAAAACAAAAAAATAAAATAAAAAAAATAGGGAGTACTTAGAAGTCCGAGCTCGTCCCCAAGTTTCTTCCCCCCGCCCCCGTCTTTTCGAAACGACTCTTTCCAAACTTAAACATTTACAATAATGACTCCTTTCTGTAAGCAGTAATTCGTGAATAAGTTTCAAACTAGGAGCGTCCTGTGACAATTCTCTCTGCCTTTATTGCCGCTGCCATTGTGATTCTGACTGTGGAGACATGCTCCTTAATTTATTACTTTCTGTCTTATTAAAACTTTTTTTTCAAAGTTAAATTACTGGAATAATAGTATTAAAATAAAATTATTCTAATATAATTAAGACAGAAAGTTGTGAGTCATTAACAAGCTTAATTATACTTTGAAAAAGTATGAAAGCAAATCATTGACATTTGAGTGGACTCATATATCAAACGCGGATATCTTTCATCAGATTCTAAATTGAGTTATTAGTTGTCAAAACTGGAGGATTAAAATAAATTCCTATAAATCCCATCAAATTACCTTCACTCTTCGTCGTAAACCTATGACTTCCTGTCCTACAGTATCCTTCAACAATAGCTCTCTTATCCCTGTCGAACAAATCCGATACCTAGGACTCCATCTTGACAAACGACTCACTTGGAACCCCCATAACAGACTGAAACGACTAGAAACCGCCCGACGTTTCCGACTACTCCAGCACTTACTAGACAAACGCTGTAAACTGCCAACTATTTACAAAAGACTCATATATATTACTATAATAAGGCCTATTTGGACATACGGGATCGAGCTTTGGGGCGCTACTAAACCATCAAATTCCTCTGGTAGCCAATCCCTACAATCCAAAATCCTTCGTAAAATCCTCAACGCTCCTTACTTTGTCACAAATAAAATCATCCACAAAGACCTTAATGTTCCATATGTTTCCGATTTGGCCCAATCCAGATACCTGTCCTTCCATGACAAACTGCAGAACCATCCGAATCCTCTCGTTTCAAACCTTGCTTCCTCCTCGATCCCTGATAACCCTCCGAGGCGTCTGAAAAGAAGATGGCCTCGGGATATTCTAATATAGAACTTTAATTTGAGTTCTACCAATGAGTAGTTTCTCTTCATGTTGTACATGTCATGTTACCAATTTCACAGTTACTTATTGTATTTTCTATGTAATACAGTTGTAAATTCCATTAAAATAATAAAATAAAATAAAAAAGTTATTAGTTAATTCTTATAACATTTTTCTCGCTCTTTTAAATAGTTAAATCATTTTACATTATGAAAATCGTATGTATATAATTTTTTCTAACTCTATTTTTTAAACTCAAGCCTATTAGGAATACCAACAATTAGTGTTGCTCAAATGTGAGACAAAGACGAGTCTTGGTCTTGCGCACTCAGTCTTGGTCCCACTTAAGAGTCTTATACTAGTCTTGCAGTTACCTATTAGTTAATTATTATAGAGATATTACTGTAAATTGTAGATAGGAGAAATCTAACTAAGCTCTAATGAAAAATTAGAAGAAATGAAAAAGTATATTGGTTGTATCAATTCTTTGCATATAGAGGCATTATTTATATATCTTACATATTAACTATTTTGCCTTAATTATAATTCAAAAAATCGATTTTTTTTTACCAGACTTGGTCTTGCAAGAGTTAAGTTGTCTTGCAAGACCAATCTGTAGACTTCATTTCAGACCTCAACTTACCAACCCAAAGCATATATCATCAAGTTTCCCACTCAAAAAAGAAACTTCAAATTAAAAAAAAATTATGAAAGAATATCTTACAAAAGGTCAGGAAATACTAATTCCTTTTTTTATATTTTTATGTATGCAGTGACTATAAAAAATACAGGTTCCCCCCCTTGAATATCTTTTGGATTCGCTGCAATGCTCCAAAAACCACTGAAATTTGGAATATTTTGGTTTACTCTAAATATGTCCTTTTTAAAGCGACATAGATAACAAATTGTTATATTCAATCTTAAACAGCTTAAAATTATACAACTATCGTCTACTGTTCCAGTCAATGACTCATTATCTTCAAAATTCCCTGGACCAGATTTAAAATGGAGTTACAGAATTCATCTCTTCAAAACTGAAGCATCAGTATTGTGAAGAAATTGAAAAGGGTAAATTTTTAAAGCTTGATAGTTTGCTTCCTATTGGTTTAGAAAAAAATGTTAGATAATTTTAAGTTGATTAAAATTAAATACAACTACTTTTTATCTCTCTAAAAAGAAGATATTTAGCGAAAACCAAAAGTTGGAAATTTCAATGGTTTTTGGAGCACTGCAGCGAAGTCATTAGACATTCAAGAGGAAAAACTTGGATTTTTTATATTCACTACATACCTAACAATATAAAAAAAAAATTGAATTACCCGATCTTTTGCAAGGCAACATGTCTGATTTGATTTGGCTACAACACTCGAATGGTACAAAAACGTGATCGAAACTCCTAAAAACTAATATTTAACCGCATAATGTTCGTGAATGTGCCAATGCAGATTTACAATGAGGATTTTGACAGAGATCTAGTGATGTAATCGGCGTGATTTAATATATTTATTATGAGGAGTTAGTCGGAGGTGCGGTCAGATAAATACTAAATTAAAATATAGTAATTATTTTATTTTAATTTTGCCGACTTTGCAGGTCGTGTTGCAGGTAGCCCTGAAGACGACTTGCAAAGTGGGTCGAAACGTCGGCAAAAATTAAAATAATCAATATATTTTAATTTAGTATTTATCTGACCGCACCCCCGACTAACTCCTTCTCATTTTATATCAACGGTCAACCATCTCTACATTAATATATTTATTATTTAAACAACTATTCTATTACTAGTCTTAAAAATATATATAAGAATATAAGTTATGTTTGATTTCTTACTTCATTTGTATCAAAAAACGGATATCTACAATCATGTTTGTTCCAAAACCGGACATGTACATTTATGTTTGTTTCAAATACGGACATCTACAATCATAATTGGTAATTGGTTGACTGTCGTGGATAATGAAGAGAAGAATAGTTGGGGTGGTTAGTCAAAAAGGAAGGCAAAAATAAATGATAATATTTATTTTTACATATGCCGACGTTTCGACCTGAAGTTCAGGTCTTCATCAGGGCTAAGAAAATAACCAGATAACAAGGTATGAGAAACATAAGTAGAGATGGTAAAAAAAAAAAATAATAATAATAATAAAAAATTAAAAAAATAAAATAAATAAATAAACATTTCTACTTATGTTTCTCATGACTTGTTATCTGGTTATTTTCTTAGCCCTGATGAAGGCCTGAACTTCAGGTCGAAACGTCGGCATATGTAAAAATAAATATTATCATTTATTTTTGCCTTCCTTTTTGACTGACCACCCCAACTATTCTTCTTTTCATCTACAATCATGTTTGTATCAAAAACGAATAATTGTATATATGTTTTTTTTATCCATTAAAAACCGACATTTGTATTTTTAAAGATGAATTTGATTAAATTTTGAAATAATGCTGATATCACATCCTTCACAGAATTAATAAAAAATGTTTAAGTTAATTATTTTATAAAATATGTACACAGTTTTTACATCCTTTATTATTTATTCGACGTTTCGGCTTCAGGAGCAATTTTCAAGGTCCTGCAAACTAATTTTAATTCAGTTTTTATACTTCAAAATACATCCTTTTTAGATACATATTAATTTAACAACTATCAGTCATATAAATAGTCCAAATTATATTTTTAAAAAAAAATTTATCATGTACCTACTGTTCACCGCTTCATAAAATTTCTAAAATCTATCATTACAATATAATTCGTCTTTTAGTCTTTTAGTCTTCTTAAAAGTTGTAATAAATAAATGTTTAATTATAATAGAATGTTAAAATTTTTTTAAAAAGAATATTATTTGTTCTCAATTTATATACCTCTTTCGCAGACGATATTAAGAAAAATGTTCCTCCTCACTAACACATTCATACAGAACTAGATTTATATAAATACATAATGCAAATTTTAGAATTTTTTTTAGAAAATAGAATTTGGACTATTTATATAACTGATAGTTGTTAAATTAATATGTGTCTAATAAGGATGTATTTTGAACTATGAAAACTGAATTAAAATTAGTTTACATGATCTCGAAAATGGCTCCTGAAGCCGAAACGTCGAATAAATAATACAGGATGTAAAAACTGTGTACATTTGGTCTAATATTTTATAAAAAACTTATAAGAAAATGGCACCGAACATGAATGATATGACTAGAAAATGTTTAAGTTAAATTATATTTCACTGATGTGTCTGGTGTATCTTCGAATGTATTATTGAAAATGGATAGCTATTTAATTTGAGAGTCTTTACTGGATACTAGTTTCTCTTTATTAGATTTCTAGAAATGTCTACAGTCTTCTTACATGAGAGAGCTGATGTTTGTGATTTCAGCTGCTGGTTAATTCAAATCCCGCTCCGACAGCTCTTCACGATTAAATCGCTCTTGAGGAAATCTGGATGTGGAGACAAGGAAGGCTCTCTCTCGAGAGAGCAAAGGAGGCCAAGACAAAGAGAATCTCCTTCAATTATCCTCTGAAGGCTCTCGAGATCGCTATAATTGGCGCCCACCTTCCACTCCCTCTCCTCCTGCTCTAATCTAATTCCTTAATTTATTGTTTAATTTTTAAAGGTTTGTCAAATTAGAATTTTTTTATTTTTTATTTCTTCTTTAAAATATAATTTAAAAGATTGGCGTTTTTTTTTTTTAATAGAATAAATATCTCGTGACGTGTGAACTAAGAGTTTATACCTATTCACCATTCACTTTACGTTTATTATTAGATGGGTTTTAGGTTCTAGGATGCAGAAAAAGACGTACGAAAATGAAAATAAATATTTTTTTTTTAAATATTGAAGGAAGTTTGTGGACTGTTTTGACTGTTGGATGATAGATATTCTGGAAGCAGTCAGTATTTTAAAATTTGTATTACCAATGTTTCAACTCAAGCTTGTGAATCAACATCAGGGCAGACAAACTTACAATATGATATAACATATTATAGTTTTTTTTTTTGTTTCCTCACTACCGAAGGTGCGAGAGATTAAAAAAAGTTGTGTGCTCACTATCGAAAATTTCTACTCGCGTTTTACGTTTCAGACATCAAGGATCAAATTTGGTTCCGTGTCTGTCTGTCTTACTTTCTGTCTATACTCAAATCGATGTAACGGGCATATCACCTACTAGAATTCATCCGATTTCCATGAAATTTTCAGGAAGTGTGCGGATCGTTGTGTAGATGGTCCCATATCAATTTTATTAAATTATAGCCAGAATTTCTACTTACGCACGCGCAAACGCATTTTTGTGGATATGGCAATATTTCAGAAATGGCTCGTTTTATTTGGCTTATAGTTGGATAAAAGGTAGCTATTTATAAAAAAAAAAAAAATAATGTAGGGTCAATTTTATTTAATTCTGTCCGTTGATTTCTCTTATATATGCGCAAACGTGTTTTCCTTGATATGTCTATATCTCTAAAACGATTTGGCTGAAATTTGAAAGGAATTTAGGAATTGGTAAACTTAAAATGAAATAGGCTTCAATTTTATCAAATTCTGTTTACTACTCCAAAAAAAAAAAATTCTTCCGCTTTCAGATCAGGAAATGTGTTACTTGATATGCCTATGGTTTGAAAACGGCGCTTTCGATTTGGTACAAACTTCGAGGAAATTTGGTGAACAGTACAGACATAACTTAATATCAATTTCATTGTATTCCATTTAATAATTAAAATTAATATAAATAATTGTTACAATATAATGGCTGTGAAATGTTGAAGGCACTGATCATATGGAGAGGGAGTTAGGTTATTACAATATAGCAATGGGATTGCAATTTGGGGTTTTACAAATTTATAATATCGAGTCTTAGTTAATTCCATCCATCCATCAGTTTTTTGTCTTTCCATGTGGTATTCATTGTCGTGTCGTGGAATCCAGTCAAATGAGCTACATTCTCCACCCATCTTAACCTCTGTGCCTTCATATCATGAGATATCGATTTGCCAGTTTCTATAAGTAGCTCTGTATTGGTCTTTTTCTCGATGTATTACTACTTTGATCCCAAATCGCTTGTGTTATCGTCCGGAGGATTTATTTCTCAAATCTTTCAATAACATTTTTGTAGAGGATTTCAATACCTTTGAAAACGAGAAAAAAGCTCTGTTTCGCGCTAAATGGTATTATTTAATATTGAATTGTATAGATTTTTACTTTTGTTTCCCCTTTTTCTGAAAATACTTATCTGCTAAGTAGAGGATGGTAAGTGAAAGTTGTGTGATACGTGAATGCGTGGGCTGAAAATTATTTAATACAATCAGAGATACAATATTATAAGACAGATAATGGTCAATAGTTAGAAAAAATAGTGATAAATGATACATGAATAGACAAATGAACTATGTAATAAGTTATACAAACTAAAAAGGCGTTGGCACAAATAAAAAAATATTTACAATGACTGCGTCCTGAATATTTATCACCCATAAATTGCATACTTTTTTAGTTATGCATAGATAAAGTTTTCTTATCTTTATACATTTTTTCCTGAATTCTCTGAGGCTGATGGTTGGCAAATATATAGCCAGCTGTAGTTGCGAATAAACTGCAACCAATTTAACAATTAGATGTTTTGAATTAATTCCTCGACGAATCAGTGATAGCTTTAAGGATTTTTAAATTTAAGGATCAAAATCAGGATCCGTCACATTTCCTTGAAATTTCCTTTTGTTTGATACCTCATTCATCAAAATCCATCGCTCATGAGAGCCGTAAAAGGGTTACTATATCGTCGGCACCATGTTAAGGTAACGAATGTGAGCCCGTTTAATGTTGCGCATTCATTCAGAGGTGTCCAGGACGGGGTTTTATGGCGCAGTTTGCGCCATTAAAATTTTTGAGGGGGGCATATTATGACGGATTTTTTATTTTTTTAGGGAAGGACACATTTTATCACGGTTATGAATTTTCGGAATGAAAAGTTTTTAGAATAAGAGACAAGGAGAAAATATGAAAAAAAAATTAGTGTAATTGTATTTTATCTGCGTTTTTTATAATTCTACTTTTCTTTGCTCTGTTTTTGAAAAAAAGATGAGCAATAAAATATCTTAGGAGAAGGGTGGTAGACTCTTGCGCCATCGACCTTGGATGGGCACCCCAGTATTCATTACTTTAACATGGTGCCGAAGATATATAGTGTTGATTACCTTTGTTAAAAATGAAAGTCCATCTTTTATAAATCATAAAACGTAATTATCTTTTATTTTAATCTATATGTGTATTGTTGCAGTAACTCCATCAGCTCATTGAGCGGGGACTGGAGCGGTGTGGCGACGACCTTGACCAACCTCTACCTCGGCGAAAACGATCTTGTAGAGCTGAGTGTCCAGGACCTGCGAAAGCTCCTCTGGCTCAACGCAGATGGGAACATGCTTTCTTCGCTGGAAGCTGGGTCCGTTCCGCCCACTCTTCAGACCCTCAGCGTCTCCAACAACCTCATCGCTTCTTTTCCCACCGACTTCTTAGAGGAGTCTAAGAGGATATCCTGGCTCTACCTCAGGGACAACCTCATCAATAGGATTCCCTACTACAACTTCAAGCACAGGAAGAAACTGGAGAAGTTAGACCTCGGTGAAAACTGCATCAAGGAGATACCGATGAATCCGTTCAACGGAACCTTAAGTGTTCGAGATCTGAATCTCGACTTGAACGAGATTCGAACACTCGGACCTAACGCTTTCAATGGTCTCAGTCCTGGAAGAGTGTACCTGTCACAAAACGGCTTAGAAGAGATACACATCGATGCGTTCGCCGGACTCGAGAGCACTCTTGAGTACTTAGATCTCGGAGGAAACCTATTGCAGGAGGTTCCCAAGGCCTTGTCTAGGCTTAAAAAGCTCAAATATCTCTACCTTCCGTCCAACAACATATCCCATATTCCCAACGACACATTCAACAATTACTCAGGTACCCTCGGTGCTTTATCGCTCCATGGGAATCGACTCGAGGCCATTCCAGCCGATGCCTTGAGAGGATGCGGAAAGTTATATCATTTAAACATCGGATACAATCACATTATGGAAATAACCGAGGAGGACTTCGAGCATTGGGGAGAATCTTTGGACACTCTGCTTCTGATGAATAATAGGTTGGTTCAGATTCATGGGCATACATTTCGACAGACTCCTCGCTTGAGAGAGTTGAGTCTTTCTTTCAATAAAATCAGTGCCATTGATACTGATGCATTTGTCGACGTTGAGGATAGTCTTGAGAGTTTGGAGATAAGCTTCGGCCTATATCAAGAAGAATTCCCCGAAGATTTCTTGAAACCTTTGAGATCGTTGGTCTGGCTAGCTCTGGACAATAACAGCTTCAGAAGCATATCACAGAGTGCTCTGTATTCTTTCAAGAATTTGCAATATCTCAACCTCGATGGAAACAGACTATCTATGATACCAGTCGGATTGTTTCATCCAAGCGTACACCGTAACTTGAGAGATATTAGATTTTCGTACAATCACATTATGTCCGTTGATCCTCACACATTTACTAATCTTGTCAGTCTTCAATCGATTGTTTTGAGTGGTAATCAGATTAAAATTCTAAAACCAAATGCTTTTAAAAGCCTTCCTGGTAAGTTGAGCGTGATTCTTTCAGACAACAAACTGACGACTATTTCTCCGAGGGCCTTCAACGATATTGCTACTATGGTACGGCTGGACCTCCAATCGAATGCATTACAAGAGTTCTCTTTGAGTGCATTCCACAACGTGACAGCTCCTTATCTTCCGCTCAGTCTCAACCTTTCGAGAAATGAAATATCCAATCTTCTAGTCGCTGAGACTATGAGGTCTGTCTGCATTCACACGATAGACTTGAGTCATAACCAAATCATTGCCGTTCCCAAAGACTTCTTTCAAGAAATCTACACTTCCATCAGAAGGATATATCTCGGCTACAACCGGATCAGCAAGTTGGATGAAACTGCGTTCGGAAATTTGTCACCTTTACAAGCACTATCGTTACAACACAACAGTATTGTCTCCTTGAGGAAAAGGGCATTCGTGGGACTTCCGAATTTACAGATTCTGGACCTCTCTCACAATCACATCGAACAGATCCACATGGAGCAGTTCAAGAGTCTTCCAAACTTGAGGATTGTTGATCTGTCTTATAATCACATACGAAGCATACCTAGGGATGCCTTCCAAAATACTAAACTGGAGAGGTTGGATCTCTCTAATAATGAATTTGTGGTCATGCCAAGTGGTGCACTGGGTGAAGTGGGGTTCACAATGCGGGTGTTGGACATCGCGCACAACCAGATAGAACACTTGGACGGCACCATGTTCCCCGAGACACCATTACTGTCGGCACTTGGCCTGGGCTACAACAAGATCTCGACGATCCCGGACAACGTCTTCTCCTCGCTGAGCGGGATCTTGAGGCTAGATCTTGCAGGGAACAGGCTGCGGGCTAACCTAAAGGAGCTCTTCCACTACCTCAACAATCTTCGGCACTTGGACCTCGCGGACACCGGACTCAGAGACTTCCCTTCCCTGGCACTCCCTAACCTGGTCAGCCTCAACCTTTCAGGGAACCCCCTCGGAGGACTGAGTTCCGCGGCGGTGGCGGCCATTCCGAAGTTGAGGCAGTTGGACCTGAGCCGCTGCAGGATCATTGCCTTGCCTCCGATCTGGGAAAAGATACCTTTTCTCAAAGTTCTCAACTTAGCAGACAACCCCGTTACGGTAAGATATATATATATATATAATATTACTTTAGTATTATTTCACCAATTCCGACCACTGGCGATTTCGCTCGAGCATATTTCACAATGCTGGACAAAATCGACATAAAATAACGAAAAAATGTAAGGTCAGTATAGTAGTCCGTGGTAGAGACCCCTTTTTATCAAACTATTAACATCTGGCTGAAACTTTGTAAATAGTTTCATCTCATCTTAACCAACAAATATTTTATGAGAAGGAGTTAGTCGAGGGTGCGGTCAAATAAATAATTAATTAAAATATATTAATTATTTTAATTTTTGCCGACGTTTCGACCCACTTTGCAGGTCGTCTTCAGGGCTACAAAAGATACAAAACATGTTGAAAGTAAAAAAAAATTAAATATAAGTATATATAAAATAAGAAGAAGTTGTCAGATACAGAAATAAAAGATGGTATCTGAGATATAGTGGGTGACAATGGCGTTTAATAAAATTGACACTAAGCAATCTGTACATTATTCTCAACATTTCCTTCAGCGTTGGGTCGAATCGGAACTGCCGTTTTGAAGATTCGAAAGCGGGCGTAACGGGCAGATTTTTATGAAATATCTACTTCATCGTTTATCAATCATTAACTTTCCTCCAAATTGAACAGGCGGCTTTTGAGAATTATATTTTTACTAAATCCACCTTTTTTTCCAACTTAGAGCAAATTTGAACGGATCATTTCTGAAATTTTATCCAAGAAAATATATTTGCGCTTGTGTAAACGGAAGTATTGTTCACGTCACGTCGATTTGACTACAGACAAATAGATAGACGCCGAACGAAATTTTATATTTGATGTGTGAAAACTAAAACGCGTGTGGACATTTTGGTTTTAACCGCACGAATACAAAGCTTTCCTACATTTTTTGGTGAAAAAACAAAAATTATTATAAGAATACAAATCTTATAAACAATTAGATACATCTACCTTTTATTTTTTATTTTATTTTCAACCCTCCCCTGCCTGAAGGCAATACGGGTATTTGCAGCAGTGGGATGTTACTGTTACATAACAACCCACTGCTGCATGTTTTGGCTATTACATTATTTTTCTGAGCTGTGCACACAGCTTGCTCTTCTCTTCACTTGCATCTGGTTTACTTTTCTTATTATTCTGGTGGCCTCCCCGGTGCAGCTTCTCTTTTCTTCCCAAAGAGAAGTGGGTTGGTAGAACAACTTCTTTCCATCCGTATATAAAACTTTTGAAGTGATCGTATCTTTCTTTGTCCATAAGTTGAGGAAGATCTCTCTCTGTTAGGACAAAGAGACCTGTTTCTCTCAACAGTTTCGCCCTCAGTGACTCATAGACCGTACAGGTAAGTACAACATGTTCAGCGGTCTCCGGTACCACACAACTTGGGCATAGGGGATCGATATTTATACCATACTGATCGAGCTTTGCTCGGAAACCCCCATGCCCCGTGAGAATCTGTGAAATCCAGTAGTCCGGGAGGACTCAAGTCGCTTCTAGTCGCGAACTGACGGTGGGGAAGTACTTCCTTAGAGTAGCTCCTTTGGGAGTCGTCAACCACCGTCGGTTCCAGTCCTCTACTGTATCCTCCCGGAGAATCTTCTTCCAGTTTCTTGGATCATCTCTTATTCTCACTCGGAGGTAATCCGGTAGAGCCGCTAAGCATTCTCTCCTAATCTGATACCGGTAGTAGTCTTCTCTCAGCAGGAGGTCGAGAGGTATTCCTCCTGCCAAGACCTGCACAGCCTCATGAGACACCGTCCTAAATGATCTGGATACTCGAAGCAGAGCCATCCGCTGAATCGTGGCCAACCTACATTTCTGTCTGTGCGAGAGATTTTGGCTCCAGGCAGGGGACGCATACCTCAGGATACTCACAATAACACCTTTATAAATTGTCATAGTTGCTGGGTACCTGAGGCCCCAAAATGCGCCCCCAATACGACTGAGTCCGTTAAGGGTTAGGGCTACCCTACTTCTCAAGTAGTCCAAGTGAGGTGTCACGTTGAACTTTCTTCCAATCCTAATCCCAAGATAGGTGACAACCTCACTTGGACGTATTCTTGATGCTTGTATAACCATTGTTATAGGGTGAGCCCTATCAGTCGTGCCTTTCAAGAGGATGGCCTGGGTCTTGGCGGCGGCCATCCTGAATTTCTTCTTCTCGCACCACTCTTCTACTAAGTTGGCGCACCTTTCAGCTTCTTCTTTCAGTCGGGTTCTGCTGTTCGAGGCTACCACAACGGCCAGATCATCTACATAAGCCGTAGCGGGGAACCGCTCCTCTTCCAGTACTCCCAACAACTCATTGAAAACTAAATTCCATAGGGCAGGACCTAGAACTGAACCCTGGGGACAACCTCTTTCCATGGAGTCTTCAACTTCGAAGAAGTTACCCCGTATTCTTAAAGTTCGGTCCTGAAGATAGCTTCGTAATAGCTCGTACAAGTTGCTGGGAGCTTCATACTTCTGCAACTGCTGGAGTACGCAAGGCCACCAAACACTATCGAAGGCGGAGGTGATATCAAACAGGAGGAGCATAACATACTTCTCCGCCTTCTCTTCGACGTCATGGCGCACTCTCAGCAGGGCATCCACGGTTCCCCTACCCTTAGTGGATCCGTACTGCCGTGGATGGCTCGCTCTTGAGAAGACTGGTCGTAGGCTCACCAGGAGTAGGTTCTCTAACACTTTGCTCATAACAGGGAGGAGACATATAGGCCTATAAGACTTGGCTAATTGCTTGTCCTTGTCTCCTCCCTTGTAAAGGAGCCTTATGTCGGCAATTTTCCAATTTCGTGGAAAGTATCCCCTATCAAGGCAATCATTGAATAACTCCAACAATGTATCTTCGATATAGGGGATACTATTCTTTAGCATAGCCGCATCGATTGCGTCTAAACCGGGAGCACGACCAGTCCTTTGCCTGTCCACAGCAGCACGCAGATCCCATATGTCCCATGGTGGGCACAAGTCCGTACCAGGTGGACATACCGTAGTGCGCCTTATGAATTCCTCTTCTTCATTATCTTGGGACGGATCATCTCTGGGGTAGATTTCCGCTATAAACATCTTCGATGTCTCTTCCAGAGTGGTTGCATGGGTAGCTCCGCACTTGAGCGCAGCAATCACTTGTTGTGGTGTTAGCTTACCCAGAGCCACTCTGTAAGGAATACCCCAAGGATTCTTTGATGACTCCTCAACAATGAACTCGTCCCAAGACTTCCGCTTTTGTAAGCGCACCTCATTTCGATATGCCCTGGCTTTAGACTTGTACTCGTCACGAAGTGTAATGCGCCTCTCGTCACAAATACACCTCTGGTACGACCGCCGGGCCTTGTAGAGCTCTCTCTTCATCATAGTTAATGCCGGCGTCCACCATGGAACAGGTCGAACTCTCGCCTTCCGATGCTGGAGGGATTCTTCAGCAGCATCACGGATGACAGTTGTGATCCTGGATACCCTGTAATCCAGATCATGAGTCTGATCCATGTCAGCCTCATCCCATTCCTCATCAACCAATTTTCCCTCCAGAGTCGACCGGAAGGCGCTCCAATCTTTTCTTCGGGTTATGTAACCCTTGTCTGTGCCGTGGGAACTAAATGAACTTTCCACCAGCCTAAAAGATATCGCCTGATGGTCGGAACTCGTCTCAGATCGAAGGGTCCAATCGATGATGCGGTTTGCCAGCACCGGTGATGCCAAAGTCACATCGATCCAGCTGTGGCCTCTTGCACTGGAGAACGTTGGGATAGCGGAGGAATCGTTGATGACTAGTAGCTGGCTCCTTGCTATAAATTCACCAAGCTGGACGCCTCTTCTATTGGTTCGATTGGACCCCCAGACCGTGTTCCAAGAGTTGGTATCTGAGCAGATAATCACGTTCCGAGTGCAAGCCGTGATCATCTCCACGGCGGTTATGTCCCTTTCTATGTCATTTCCATCAGGCATGTATGATGAAACTAGCGTAAAGGAAACATTACGCCACTTGATATGACATGCGACACAATCCGCCGTGGTATACTGCCTCAGATCCATCACATCGAGGTTAGGATTATTAATCACAATAGCAGCCCTGGGCCTCCTCTCTCTACTGCCCAAAGCTATAACTCTCGATGTGAGGCCAAACCCCGTTACTAAGTTCCCACGGCAGGTCGGTTCTTGAACCGCCATAACATCGTAGCGCGGATAAAGAGCCCGGAGTTCGTCTGCCACTATATGCCGGCGCCCCATGTTGAGCTGGAGGATGGTAAGCTCACTCATAAAAGGTCCTCTTCGCTACCTCTTTAGCCCACTTCAGGTGCACAGGGCACTCCCGACTTCCCGCCTTGTGCTTCCTTTGACTAGCAGGCGCATTTACCCGCTCGCAGTTGATGCACGATGGGCTAGCCAGTTCTTTTTTCTTAGGGCAATCTTTTATAACATGGCCAGTGGAAGCGCACCAAATGCAAACTACGGCATTTGATATGCATGTGGCCTTAGTGTGACCATATCCCTGGCATTTACTGCATCGAGGAGCGTCGAGGTAGTCTTTGATTTTAATACTCCACCATCCTCCATCTAAGCTTCCTATTTCCAACAGCAGGAATCGAACTGTAGGGTGCACTTCTATCACCCAATTCTTTGTAAAGCCATTTCTTGCCATTGAGGAAAAAAGTGGCCGGATATCATCAAGGACCAGCGGAGTGGGGACCGACTTCTCGGGTATTCTTTCCCATAAAAATCTCACCAACTCCGCTGAATCCCATGAGAGGGGGACGCCCTGAACCTCCAATCTAGGTTTCTTCCTCAAGGCAAGTTTGGCTTGAAGGCCACTGTCTCTTAGCCCTTGCCATCCAATCACCTTCGTGGCATCACTACTATTATCCATGCGGACCAACACGGAGCCAGTCTTGGTCGTACGGACAATGGAGGCCTTTACTCCAATTTCGCTTGGTGAAGGCAACCCATTGATTATATCGGCTGGTCTCTTGCCCGTTCCGCTTATAGTGATATAAGTTGATCTCTCAGTTTGAGTTGGCTTTGTAGGCAAAGATTTCACAATATCCGCAATGGTTATTGGTTTCTCTTGTCGTTGTTCTTGAGCTTTCGGTTCTATTGAGATCACTCTGTTTGACGAAGTAAGTGCTTTATTAGTAGTTTTAGTTTTTTTCCTCCTTCTCTTACTCTTGACGGTTTCAAATCTCTCTGTTACCTCCGGAGAATGATCCATATCTTGACTAGCAAGTTGGTGCTGTTCTCCAGAGGGTCCTGCCTTATCCTGTAAATGTTGAGGTGCTGAACTTGAAAGAGCCTCCAAAACCTTTGGCATAGAAGTCTCAACGATAACTTTGGTTAACATTTCATGCACCTTTTCCGATGACAATGTTTCATTTATTGCTCTTTGGACAAGGGTAAGTACACTGTCATAACTATCTTGACTATCTTCGCCTTCTGAGGTCTCAATCATCTTAACAAGACATTGAATCTTGGTGCTAATATGGTCCCTAACACTACTTACGGGCTTGTTTTCATGTTTGACCATGTATAAACGAAGATTCTCCTGTATTCTCTTTGCTTCAAGAAATAGATTAGAGCCCTCTTCCAATTTCTTTTTAGCAACAGGGGAACCCTTCCTGGCCCTCTTTATCGTACGTTTTCGTTCTTTACGAGGTTCCACTCCTTCAACTATATTATCATTTAACATAGTAAATTAACCTTTAAATAAAAGAAAACTTACTTGTCTTTCCTAAAGAGTCTTTGGGCTTCCTAGGGAAGCTTAAGGTAGTTTTAGCTACCAAGGGGTCGAATATTTTTCCTTAATGCACTTTAAAACTATTTTCTGGAAAAATGTTAAGTAGTAGATACAAAAGGTTATAGTGAAATAAACTTGATGAGTCTTACACTGACACTTACCTTAAGGTACGACAATGTCTAACCCAATATTTCATTACTGAAGAACTTTACAAAACGTACTACAGAAATAACACTTAAAAAGAAACACTTAACCTAACAGTCCAAAACTATATACACCAATAAAACGAAATTAACAGGAACAGTAACGACAAAATAACATAATTAATGAACAAACTAACAGAAACTTATTATGAAACAGAACAATTAACACAAAAAACACTATAAATAATTAGAAAATACGCAATCAAAAGCTATAGGCAATTTCACTAGGCAATACATCTACCTTTAAAGAAAATCTATGTGTCAACGAAAACGAACCTATAAATGTTTTGAATTATCTACCTACCTTTAAAGAAAATCTATGTGTCAACGAAAACGAACCTATAAATGTTTTGAATTATCTACCTACCTTTAAAGAAAATCTATGTGTCAACGAAAACGAACCTATAAATGATTTGAATTAATCTTTGAATTTCTTAAAATTAAAAGATTTATGTAGCAGTGTCGTGTTAGCGTTACCAACTCTCATTCATTCATTTATTCAGATATTAAACGCAGATAAATAAATACTTTGTCATTCAACTTTTGAAAACTTTTGCTATAAATAAATTTTAAGTTTAAGAAACCTTGCGCAGAAGCAATATCGTAACCATCGAAGGTCTACTGAGGTGCGATTATTGCTAGTTCAAAACTTTTACCAATACCCCGCCATGGGCTTCCCTCCGAGGCGTCTGAAAAGAAGATGGCCTCGTGATCTCCTTATATAGACATATTATTAGAGTACTACCTGTGGTTAGTTTCTCAACAAGCGTTTTCAAGTGATTATATTCTTGTGTACACATTTACTTGATGTATTTATATTTTAATACAGTTGTAAATATCTTGAATAAATAGCTAAAAAAAAATGTTTAAGAAAAATTGCCTCAACATTGTTAATAAAGTGATATTTCTTATTCACGCCGGTAAATTATATTTCATATGAAAGAAAGGAAAATGAAATAAAAGAAAAATCCCAAGAAATGTGTATATTTAATATAGCCCTGCCTGTTTGTATATTTTCGTCCTAAAACCATCGACTCATTCTGTATTTTCCTCTCGCCGAGCTGGTAAAATATTCTTTTCTCTTGAGGAAAAGTTCCATCGGAAACCTTTGACAATGGTTTCGTTTTTTGGGGCATTTGAACACAATCAGACCCGAGCCAATCCAGGCACTCAAGTTACCGCTTTTTTTGTATATGGCAGGTGTACTCGCTACAACCCATTGATTTGTTTTTATAGTTTTTTTTTCAGATTTATACAGAACGATATCTCAATAACATTCGTAATTTAAAGGTCAGAATAACTAAAAAAATTACAGAAATAATAAATAAAAAATAATTAAATGTGAATGTTTAGGACAATAACAAGGCTATTTATTTTAGTACAATTTTATTGTATTTTTTAAAAATATTATCAATGTTATATGTGTCAGGACCTATGCTTTTTTTTTTTATTATTTCATAAGCAGCAGAATCGTACTTTGTACAAACATATATAATAAATTGTACTTGGTAACACACATATATTTTGACACACATAGAAGGACACCAATAAAGAACTGCTTACAGAAAATGGTTAATCAATATCTCATGGTATGAAAGCAAGTAGGTTAAGATGGGTGGGGCATATAGCTGGGACCAATCCATTTGGCAGCCTCTCCATAACATTAAATGCCTCAATAGTATGTAAAAGACCACGTCGAGTTCAAAAAGCAGATGGATTGATAGAATCAACAAAGATGCAATAAAGCTGCGTGCTAATAACTGGAAAGAAATAGCACAAAATAGGCAGAGATGAAGAAGGCTTCTTAAGATTAGTGTTGCCCAAATGCGAGACCGAGACGAGTATTGGTCTTGCAAACTCAGTCTTAGTCATGGTCTTGTTAGAGTCTCGTAACAGTCATGCAGTTGCTTATTACTATAGAGATATTACTGTAATTTTTTAGATAGGAGAAACATAACTAAGCCCGAATGAAAAATTAGAGGAGTTAAATGCAAAAGTATATTGGTTATACCAATTATTAACATATAGTTACTAAGATTGTCAAGTATTAGTAACTATTTTGCCTTAATTTTTATTTAAAAAATCGATATTTTTTTACCAGTCCTGATCTCGGTCTTGCAACAGTTATCCGGCATTAGTCTTGGTCTTGCAAAGTGCAAGATTAAGACCGATTTTGGGCAACACTAGTTAAGTATATATATATATATATATATATATATATATATATTATAAATAACTTATGTTGGTTGTTTTTTTTGTTTTTTCAGGTCCTGACAAAGGACAGCTTCCTTGGCTTGCAGAATTTGGAATGGTTGGATCTGATCGGCCTGGAGAGACTCCAGAGGTTCGACACAGACTCACTTTCCAGCTGTCCTTCTCTGAGAACGCTGAAGATACAAACGTGGCCCAAATTGGAAAAGTAAGGATGGAATAATTTATAAACGGATATATAGTTAAATGTTGGAATTGTAAAGGTGAAAAATTGTCAGGAAATGTAGTCATTAATGTTGTTTATTAATTTTGCCTACGTTTTGACCCAAGCAGTCATCAGCAAATGTTGCCAACAGTGTTTCTGTGTGTATATGGGATGTCTCAGCATTAAATGCTGAAAAGTGTAGGACCCAAGACAATGTTCTGACGAACTCTAGTTTTATTTAGTTGATAGAAAAAAACTCAGTCCCATTTTCACATTGAACAATAAGATAAGACAATGTTTTGTGCTACAAATAAATACAAAAATAATATACGATATAAAGTAAAAATAAATTAATTAAATAATTATTACAAAAAAAAACAATTAAATAAATAAGAAGTATGAAAAAAATACAAATATAAATTTGCTATTAGAACTAGGCGATCCTCCTATTTTAAACAGATACTACAACTCAAACGCTCATTTCAATCCCGTCCCACAAGATCCCGTACGTCCGACTTCTATCCTCCTCACCGGACTGCTGCCTTTGGCAAATCCTTTTTAATTCAAGCTGTCTCTTTCTGGAACTCTATTACCTCAGATATTCGACACGCAAAGTAAGTATCCCCTTTCAAATCCCTCCTCTTCAAACTGCCATGTCTTATCCCCAAAAAAGGTATGACATAAAAATGCTATGTTTTGGGGTGTTTAAACTTTGTTCGGGATGCCACTGGATAATTATTGATGATAATTACCCAGAGTTATTTAATAATAAAAAATTGGTAAAATAAATTTGGATCTATAATATATTGATTGGTCCAGAATAAATTAATTGGATTTGTTTTTATCATGTGCTGGTTTGTGTTTATCATGCTTTCTAATTACCTGATCATCATGGTATATAAGGGTGGCAGATTTAAAATAACTTTTACTAACAAACTTAATTTATTTCAATTTTAATAGAGAATTATATACAAATTATACTTACAAGAATTACAAATTATAGTTACAAGAATCAATGAATTCAATAATGAACTGTGAAGGCATGATTTCAGATGGACTGTTTTGAAAATTATATTGCCATGAAATATTCTAACATTAGGTTGGTTTTTGTTGGGAATAAAACTCATCTATTGTATATGAAGTGGTGTAGCTGGTAGATGTCATCGCTGCATCTGCGAATTTGAGATCATCTGGTCATGGTTCAAAGCTCTTCCAGGATCATCATGGTCTATGTAGGGCCAAGGCTTCGGTCCCCAAGCCAGAAGAAAACGTAAGGCCTATCCTCAGCGCCGGATCTCCACATAAGACGCTTTTTCTTGCTTCTTGGTAGAATTTATACAAACTTTTCAGGGTTGGGCAAGAATGGTTCTCATTGGTTCTTAACGTCATCATATTACTTTATAATAACTGTAACACCCTAAGAGGAACCAATTACTTAGCCCGTTACTAGTTGTTACTCTGAGCCTTTCCTCGAGCCAGATATAGGGTCGGTCCTTAATTTATCTGCTTTCTACCTTTGACGCAGTTTCTGATGTCAGAAGGCGATTTCGTTCACCTTTGTTTTCTACACTAAATAATAAATTTAAAACCTTATTAGCTATGTTCAATACATAGCAAAACATCTACTCCATTCCCAATCCGATTGATCACGAAATACACTTAAAAATCTAAGTTTAAAGAATCTCAAAGTACCCTCAGATTATTTTGTGATTTATTGAATTTTGTTTACTTATTTTACTTTCTCTGTTTATTTTATATTTATGCACGTTTTTATATTTTTTTTATTATCTATAATTTTATTGTTTTGATAATCATCATGTTTTGTTGAACGCAGCTTGCAGATCGACCGCCTCACCTCCGAGACCCCTGGCCTCCGCAAGCTGACGCTGAAGGTGAGCTCGAGCAGCGGGCCGCGCCTGGGCCGGCTGGGCCGCAAGCTGCGCCACCTGGAGCTGACGGGCGGTGAGCTGCGGACGCTGACTGCCGGCAGCCTGCGGGGGACCGCCGGCGGGAACGAGCTGGTGCTGCAGATCAGAGGGACCGCCCTCGAGGAGCTCCCGCTGGGACTGCTGGCCGCCCTCGGCAGGGTGCCCCACCTCTCCCTCGACCTGAGGAACAACCGCCTGAGCAGCCTCAGCCCCGACACCCTCTACTACAACCTCACCTCCTGGGAGGACGTCGGCACCAAGCTCATCTCGGGTCGGTTGTACTTTCATTTATTTTTTACTTTCACTTACCTTTATTTTATTTTATTTTCCTCCCTACCCTGCCTTTAAGACAATAAAGGAGTTTGCAGCAGTGACTTGATACACATTGCATAACACATCACTGTTGCAAGTTTATCTTTTTACATTTTTAAATTGCTGTGCACACAGCCTGCTTGATGTACTCGCTTCGGCGGTACATATACTAAAATTGGAACGATACAGAGAAGATTAGCATGGCCCCTGCGCAAGGATGACACGCAAAATCGTGAAGCGTTCCACATTTTTGCCAAAATCTCTCGCACAGACAGAAATGTAGGTTGGCCACGATTCAGCGGATGGCTCTGCTTCGAGTATCCAGATCATTCAGGACGGTGTCTCATGAGGCTGTGCAGGTCTTGGCAGGAGGAATACCTCTCGACCTCCTGCTGAGAGAAGACTACTACCGTTATAAGATTAGGAGAGAATGCTTAGCGGCTCTACCGGATTACCTCCGAGTGAGAATAAGAGATGATCCAAGAAACTGGAAGAAGATTCTCCGGGAGGATACAGTAGAGGACTGGAACCGACGGTGGTTGACGACTCCCAAAGGAGCAACTCTAAGGAAGTACTTCCCCACCGTCAGTTCGTGACTAGAAGCGACTTGGGTCCTCCCGGACTACTGGATTTCACAGATTCTCACGGGGTATGGGGGTTTCCGAGCAAAGCTCGTTCAGTATGGTATAAATATCGATCCCCTATGCCCAAGTTGTGGGGTACCGGATACCGCTGAACATGTTGTGCTTACCTGTACGGTCTATGAGTCACTGAGGGCGAAACTGTTGAGAGAAACAGGTCTCTTTGTCCTAACAGAGAGAGATCTTCCTCAACTTATGGACAAAGAAAGATACGATCATTTTAAAAGTTTTATATAAGGATGGAAAGAAGTTGTTCTACCAACCCACTTCTCTTTGGGAAGAAGAAGAGAAGCTGCACCGGGGAGACCACCAGAATAAGAATAAAAGTATACCAGATGCAAGTGAAGAGAAGAGCAAGCTGTGTGCACAGCTCAGAAAAATAATGTAATAGCCAAAAATGCAGCAGTGGGTTGTTATGTAACAGTAACATCCCACTACTGCAAATACCCGTATTGCCTTCAGGCAGGGGAGGGTTGAAAATAAAATAATAAAATAAACAGCCTGCTTGATAATTTTGTCACCTAGTTTATCGTCCTCCATCTTCTTCTCCTGTCCTAATCAGCGGCCTTCCAGGTACTGCTTCTTCACGCCTGTCCAGGGAGAGTGGGTTGGGCCCACAGTTTTTTTCCACCTGCATACAAAACTTTTAAAGTGCGCATAGTTTAGTTCAGACATCAGTTGGGGTAATTGTCTTTCTGTTAGAACGAAAAGCCCTGTATCCCTCATTAATTTGGCCCTCAGTGCCTCATAGCTGGTGCAGGCTACAAGGAAGTGCTCAGCCATTTCAGGTACTCCACAAGTGGGGCATAAGGGATCGATATTTTTACCATGTTTAAACATTTTCGCTCTGAAACCCCCATTCCCCGTGTGGATCTGTGAGACCCAGTAGTCCGGGAGGACCCATTTCTTTCTAAGCGCGATTTAATGGTGGGAAAGAATTTTCTTAGTGTGGACCGTTTGGAGTTGTCACCCATCGCCGATTCCATTGTTCCAATGTATCCTCCCGGAGGATCATCTTCCATCTTCTGGGTCATCACAAATCCTCTCCCGAATGTTTGCTGGTAAATCCGCCAAAGCATCCCTCTTAATGTTGTGCCGATAAAGGTCTTCTCGCAGGAGGAGGTCGAGAGGAACACCTCCTCACTTATCTATATATGAAATATACAATAAGGGATATTATTGTGATCATGAAAATTTTCGAATGTGAGCTTCTAACGGAAATACTCGTTTTTAAGTCCCCTGAGTCCAAATAACCAAGTATCGTCACAATCTGGTCCTCCCCTTCCTCGCCTTTAAGGCTGTACGGGGGTTTTCCCAACTCAAAGGATGTAGGCAAGGAGTTAAACAGTTCCCCGGCACCGGGACGCGAACTCGTGACTATTTTAAATCCATTGTCTCATAGATCAGGTGCTGTGCGCACACGTTAATCCGTTCGGCCACCTCGCCCAATCAAACCTGAAGTGGTACTTTATATCCTCGATTTAACACATTTTTACGATGTTCAGAAACGCGACTATAACGAAATAGATGTTTTGAGGTCTCCAGAGTCCAAATAACCAAGTCCCGCAAAATGGTCTGTGTGTGTGTGTGTGTGTGTTGACAGTCTAGCTCAAAAACGAAAAGTCGTACGAAAGTGAAATTGCATATTTAAGGTTTTTCTATGCTAGAGATGTTGCAGCAATTTTTTCGTCAAAATCGGCTAACCGGAAGGAACACTTTATATAATGGATTAAACTCATTTTTGCGATTTTCTAAAAAACGGCTCTAACGATTTTGATTAAATTAATCACATCAGTGTAAAATTAAGCAGTTTTAAATAAAACGTAGTTTTTGTTCTGATTGGTGTTCTCTAACAGGGCTTAAATGAATAATATTTAATATTAACTTCCTCTGAAGTACCTTTAATTTTTTTATTAGAAAAATTAAATTAAATTTATAAGTTCTACCAATGGGTAATTTCTCTTCATGTTGTACATGCCATGTTACAAATTTCTCATTTACTTATTGTATTCTCTATATAATACAGTTGTAAAATCCATTAAAATAATAAAAATAAAAAAATAAAAATTTATAAACCATTTCACATTAATCTCTAATATAAAAGATAGTTAAAAATAAAATTTAAAAGAATTTGATAATTAACTAAAGAAGAAATAAGAGATCGTAACGAAGAATAGTTGTAGTGTAGGAACCGAAGTATTACGAGCGCGCCCGAGCTCTTCCGAAAGATAAGAACACGATTCCATACTAACATGAGCTTATTATAATACGGACTCCTATAGTATTATATAAATATACATATGCGGTTTTCATAAATGCTATCGTTAGTATCATTTAATATTTAATTGTATAGATTACAGCGATATAAATATTATAATTTGTGTACATAAAGGCACTTTTTCGTCAAAATCGGTTTACCGCAGTGTGGCACTTTCTATCTGGACTAAACACATTTTTACGACTTTCTCTATAACGGCACTAACGATTTCGAAGGGAATTTACTGGCTAATTTTCAATATTAGCTTTTCCTAAAGTACCTTTAATTATTTTAAGACTAGCGTGGTAAGTAAAAGTCGTGTTATGTACGTACCAGATTTTTTAACTTTATTTTTACACTCATACTTATTTACTTTTCCTCTCCCTCCCCTGTTTTTCGACAATATTTAATTGGAATTTATTGTATATAAAAAAAAAATAGTCTTTTTCCTGCATTTCTATCCAGGACTCACTCCATACTGAACCATATTTTTTTTTTTTCAATTTCCAAGTGCTATAACAAAAGGAGACTCTATAGGTTCTAAACGTCTGAAGGAGAAGTTTATAACTATAATAATTACGGCGGCATAAGTCCAAAAATACAAAAATTAGCCAAATGCCTTTTACCGCCAAACGAAACTCACGTTTTTTCAAATGTTGACGGGCAACGATACATCTAGAGGTGGGCGTTCCTGCTACTTTTAAAAACCTAAATGAACTGTTCGTTGACAAAAAACAACAGTTCTTAAGAACTGTTAAAAAAATAGTTCTTGGAACAACGCAACGATTCATGGTGTAATACCTTTTCGTTTGATAACAGTCTTATTCGTTTTAAAACGGATTCTATTCTGAAAATGAATGAAACGTTTTATGTATGAAGTTTGGCATTGTTCGACCTTGAAATTGATAACCTTTGAATATTTTTAATATCAAAGAAGTGCCTGATCTTAAAAATTACTTTTTAACTAATTAAAACTTTTTTATTTTATTTTATTGAGATTCACAACCGTATTAGATGTAAAATACAATAAGTAAAAAATACTGGTAGAACTCAAATTAAAGTTCTATATTAGAAGGTCCCGAGGCCATCTTCTTTTCAGACGCCTCTGAGGATTATCAGGGATCGAGGAGGAAGCAAGGTTTGAAACGAGAGGATTCGGATGGTTCTGCAGTTTGTTATGGAAGGATAGGTATCTGGATTGGGCCAAATCGGAAACATATGGAACATTAAGATCTTTATGGATGATTTTATTTGTGACAAAGTAAGGAGCGTTGAGGATTTTACGAAGGATTTTGGATTGTAAGGATTGGATACGAGAGGAATTCGATGGTTTAGTGGAGCCCCAAAGCTCAATTCCGTAAGTCCAAACAGGTCTTATTATTGTCATATATATGAGTCGTTTGTAATTGATTGTAAGCTTAGAGCGTTTGTCTAGTAAGAGCTGCAGTAGTCGAAAACGTCGGGCGGGTTCTAACTAATTAAAACTAAATATTATTTTTCATCCATAGAACACTTTTTGTTTTAATAATATTTTAACTGTCTTGTATTAATCTGGTGGTTGTGATTTTGGACAAGTTCCTAAACTCTCAACGATGAGCTTATTGATGACATCCTTTCACCCAGCGTAAAGATGGATCCGGTGCTATCGGTTAGCTCAACGCTGAACTTAGGAATTTTCCCTTTTTCAAACAAATTTGTTATAAATTTTTTACCATATTTCTTTATCTAGTACTGCTGGGAGTTTGAAATTATGCTGCTTGTTCATTGAGTATTTTAACTGCAATTCAAACATTTTTGGTTTATTATTTTCAAAAATCAACCATTGTGATCGAACAAAAAATTCAAATACTTAGCCCCCTCTCAAAATTTAAGGTTTCACGTTTCAGGACGCGTAGAATTCGAAAAACGAATAAAAATTTGTTTGTTTGGCCGTACGCCGTCCGCTCATTTTCTCCGAAACTACTGGACCATTTTTTTTCAAATTTTGATATAAAATCAGAGGTCACCTCAGGATGATCCTCCTTCATCGACATGACTCTCCGCCTTTAACTTTCAAAATGTCGGCCGAAAAACCTGCGTTGCTTTAGACAGTAGCTCCTAAACGAATGTACAGATTTCAATGAAACTTCGCTAAAGTCATTTTCTCGACGCCCTTTAAATTTATCTATATAACATACTTCAACGAAAAGAAGCTGGGAAAAAAGTTACGAGAGAGGGTAAAATTAAATTCCGAATAACTCGAAAAGTTTTTACTTTTTTGTTGATATTGTTTTTTAAAAGTTTACGAAATTTCCTAAAAAACAAAAAAAAATCGTTAAAATTGGACAATTAGAAGCAAAGATATGGTCTCCGGTTTTTTTTAAAATGTTCTACTCCAAATGTTATATCCTTGGTTTGGTTTTTAAATTTTGAATGTGTCACTGAACTAATGCTATTTTTTTTTAGCATATTACTAATGATTAAAGAAAAACAGTTTAGTCCAATAATTGGAATCATCTTTTGTTTTTTGTTTTTTTTAACTCGGAAGGTAATGTTACTTTAGATGTATAATTGTTTGGAAATAATAAACCATTGTGAAATAAATTGCAGCGTTTTTTAACTGTTTGCCTTTTTCAATTTTCATAGAAAATAATAGCGCTTTGAATTGTGGATTAATGGTTGTCTGTTGTGAATAGAGAGAAGAATGTTTTTTTTTTTTTTTTTTTTAATGAATCCCAACCATTCTTCTCTTGAATAATACTTTTTAATTTTATATATGCACTTAAATTGATGTATGTGAATATGTTAAATTATAAAAATTATTTCTGGTCTGCAAGATACTATCATAGATAGATACATCTAAAAATATAAACTAATTTTGCCTACAAATATGTTTAAGTTAATTTAGTGATGTAGTAACCGCAATATTTATATTTATTTCTATCCTTCATTAATAATTGGAGCTAAATATTACATCCCTAAACTTAACAGTTGAAACATGTCTTATAAAAAAAACTGTTGGGTTATTTTCATGAAGTACCATTCTTTTCCAGTTTTGTTGGAAAACAGAAAGAACTTTTGTTTCGTTTGGAAAAAGCAGAACAAACAGCAACTCGACTACTGGCAAACGGGTGAACTAAAGAAAAACAAGTGTTATCCGTTTGGAAGAACAGTTCATTCGTTCGAGATAAAGAACTGTTCTTTTCAAACGTTTGACGTTTTCTCTCCCAGCCGTAGATATATCGGAAGAAATCTACAAACCAGGACTCGTAATGTGTAGCGAAAGGAACCAGGCAACTACACTAATTTTAAATATATGAAATAAAAATAATTTTATTTTGGGACTGAAGTCCCCTTAGAATAATAGTAGAGTTCAAAAAATATGTACATTAGTCTGGTATGTAGATATCATACAAATATAAAAATGTATCCGTATAAAGATACTAAGGAAAATATAAATATCTACAAAGAAAAAATACTAAGGAAAATACAAATATATAGAAGAAATACTGAAAGAGAAAAAAAAAGTGAATAAATAAAAATAAAATGGGTACTATCAATTAGCTACTGGTGACCAACGTAATTATATAACCCAGAAATTTTTACAAGCTTGCGGCACTTTGAATTTGTAGTATGTGGTGGGATAGGAGTTGTTTGAAGGAGTTTATGGATGAGGTTCGACGTATGGGAGTGGATAAGGAGTTCCAGAAGGAGGTAGCACGAATGACGAAGGATTAAGTTTTATGGGAGGGGATATATAAATCTATAGGTTGAGATCTGGTGTTGTGAGAGTGGATAGAGCCTAGCGTAAGGAGTTCTAAGATGTAGGGAGGGTTTTGAGTTCTGAGGACTTGGAAAAGAAAAACACCAAGAAGGAATTGCCTTCAGGAAGTAGGATATTTGTATTTATATATTATTTATTTATATATTATTTATTTATATATTATTCATTTATTTATATTATATTAGTTATTTATATATTATTTATTTATTTATATATTATATATTACTTATATATTATTTATAGGATATTTGTTTCTCTAACAATCTACCAAGTTGTTTAATTAGATATGGAAGTACATTCCCTTAGAGCTCTACTCTTATTTTTGTACTTGATTATTTTGGTTTATCATTTTCAATAATGAACCATTGTGATCGACCGAAAAATTAAAAAACTTAAACTCATTTCAAAATTTGAGGTTTCACGTTTCAGGATACTTAGAATTCGAAAAACGAATAAAAATGTTTTTGTTCGTCCGCCGTCCCCTCCTTTTCTCCGAAACTACTGGATCGATTTTTTTCAAATTTGGATATAAAATCAGAACTCACCCGTGGATGATCCTCATTCATCGACATTACTATCCATCTTTTACTTTCAAAATGGTGGCCGAAAAATCTGCGCGTCTATAGACTGTAGCGCCTAAACGAATGCACCGATTTCAATGAAACTTTGCTAAAGTCATTTGTATAACACACTTCAACGAAAAGAAGCAGTAAAAAAACTTACGAGAGATTGTAAAATTAAATTCCGAATAACTCAAAAAGTATATACTTTTTTGTGAATATTGTGATAAGATATTTTAAAAGTATTAATATTTCCTAAAAAATGAAGGAATCAAAGCAGTATTTGGGATTTTTATATATTTTTGGTTTATTATTTTCAATAATGAACCATTGTGATTGACAAAAAGATTCAAAAACTTAACCCCCTCTCAAAATTTGAGGTTTCACGTTCCTTAGTTATATTTGTAGTCACATTTATTTTTTCTTTAAATACAAAATTTTTTTTTTTACTTTATAGTTATTTATAGAGTGTGTGCTCTTTGAAAACTATTATAAATGCCCTTAATTAATTGGCAGATTGTAATAATTCTGAATAAATAGTTTAAAAAAAATGTTATTAGTTTTTCAAGTATTGTCAATTTATATTCAACACATATCATCACGCACTTACAAATGATATAATTGTCATATATATCGTTCTGAAATACGGAACTTTTTATAAATTCCTAAATTTACTACTTATTTGTGGTAATTGGATGACTATTTAAGATATAATTGCGAATAAATATACATCATTTTCTTAATCAAAATATTAACTAGATGGGTAATACCGAAATTAATAATGCTTGGAATAGGAAAAAAGAGGTGAGAAAGAAGGTAAATGAAAACTCTAAAGAAAAAGAAAGAGACAAATTGAACGTCACAAACAGACCTGGCACAGTTAAGACAAACAACTGGAAGGGGTCATCAAAGTTTAAAACGCCATATCCTTCAAGTTCTTCACCAATCTGATCCCCTCCCCCCCGAACCCTCTTCACTGGAAGGAAAACAGGATGCTATGGGCCCGTGTCAAAATTGAAACTGACAAGCTTTCAGCCAGAAATTGAATTCCTAACATGGTCTTGCAAAACAAAATTTTTTTTTTTCATGTTTCATTCAAAAGCAATTTCGATCACACGTGTGTTGACATATTGCGTCGATTTCGTGGTAGTCAGAAGCAGAAAATTGAAAGAAACCTGTTAACATAAAATCTAACATGACACAACAGCGATATGAGTATACATATTAATTTATAACATTCTTTCTTTGCTTACTAGATCTAAAAACTTTTTAGTACAATTTAATGAATGACTTCTTCATTATTAATATCTCAGGAAATTCGTTATTAAAAACTTGGATAGAAAATGGAAGATTATATTAAAGTTATTAAAAAACATAAAGTAAAAAGATAAAATGCCCTGGAGGGATGAAAAGATTGAAAAAAACAAGGGGATGAGAAGAGATATAATCACGTAAATTACACTCATTTCATTGAAGAGGCTCTGTTATTTAATAAATTCAGTAATTGCGAAAGCTATTTAATTTTTAAAATGGATTTCTCTGACTTTCAAATTAATTCATTCAATTACAAATTCATTAAATAATAGACAGATACATTTATATCCAAGCAGCCTTATTCAATATAATTTCAATTTATTTAAAAGCAGTTTTAGGTGACTGCTGTGACTCTGTATGGCGAAACGGAAAAGAAAGAAAATAGAAAACACATATGAGTGGTTTAATATCAAAGGACATCTGTCATTTTTAAAATTTGAGAAAAAACTATTTGGAACATTAATTAATAAATTAAGCATCAATTTAAACAAATTCTAATGACGTTTTTACTTTCCTACCTATACTAGGTAAGGAAAGTATTGCAATCGGGTCAAATTTCCGATATGCGATTTTGGATAATTGCGGTAATTTAAAAATAATTAAATAATAATTTTAAACCTGTAATTTTAATAAAAATGTCAAGAAACTAACTTTATTAAAAAAAACTAATGCTTTAGAAAATCATTTGGTTTTCGACACTATTTTTTCATTTTCACACTCTAACAAGGCGTCGCATTAAGATAGAAATTTGAATAATAGCCCATTACAGAGAGGATGAAATGCTGAATAATTCTTTCACCTACAGTATGCAGGTCCGATTTTTCTTTTCTGAGATATTTTAATCTATATATTCAATAAAACTTATATCACTTATATTATTATATCAAAGAAAATGTAGTATTAGTCAATGTGTGATACACACTAATGTCCTGGTAGATTTCCAATCCCCTTCAATAAAAGGAGATACTAACCATGTTGCTCTAAAGCCCTGTGCCATAGCCTTTCCTATCTACTTGGATTTCTGGATAATTATCATCAATAATTTCAATTATCAAGTGGCATTCCGAATAATTTCATCCTCAAAATAAAGCATAAGCGAATAAAGAATTATTAAACAATAATATGAAGACTTTATTAATCCTTCATACAACATTTTGCAATAATAACGACTAATGGACCTTCAAGTATGATGAACCGTGGGAAAAAATATACTATATTAAAAAAAAGAAAAGAAATACATCTAAAATGTTAAAGTCGTTTTATTTTGAAATCTTTTCTACATTGAAAAAAACTTCTCAATTTCTTTTTAATCTAGTTTTAAATAACCCAGGAGTAAAATATTCATTGCGAATAAGGACAGGACGAAGCTCAAAAAAGGACTAAAACGATAAATAAATAAAGGACAGAGAAGGAGACGGTTTAGGAAAACTACGCTCTCTGTCACCTGCTTTCATGGTTTTGATAAGGGAATCTCATTAAAAAGGATATATTATTTATAGGAAAGATCCTGCTGAATCGACAGAGCTTGGACAATAAAAACAAAATATACTGGAATTAAATATTCAATATTGTCCCAGGAGGTCCTGCCAGATGTAATTGCCATGACAGATCTCTGTCCCAGCCCTTTTCCACACTTTATTTATTCTATATCTCATAAATATTCTTAAGGGCTATTTTCATTCAGTTGATTTTAATTTGATTTATAATAAGTTAAATGAATATTTCTCATTAAATTAAAAATACTAACTTACCCATGCATGAACTATCCACTATCAGATACCTATCAGTTCTTCTTCCAAATACTTTCGAAGTATACAATTTGGCTCTTCACTTATATTTTAGTTTATGATTTTCTAAAATGAACAATTTTAATCATCCTCAAAATTGAAGGATTTACGTTTCAGTGTTGTGTTTTTTTTTACGTTACCCTATCTATTTGGCAATATGGGTAGTTACTTATTTCTGCATAAATACGTTCTACTGTCAGCTTCATGTAGCTGTATGTTAGTTGCTTTATTGATAGGCTAAAATTAGTTATTTTAATACGTATTTTATTTTTTGTTATTTTTTCAACTTATATTGTAAGATAATTTGATCACAAAATCTAAGAATAAACAGTGGCCTACAAAAATATTAGGCCGTTTGGCTTATATTACCTAGTTATTTTGGCATGTTTGGGGTGCTAAACTGTCCAATATTTTTGTAGGCCACTGTTTTTCTCGACTTTGTTGTCATATTATCTGATGACTCAAGTGGAAAGCAAGTGGGTATTCATGAGCTTTCTGTAGCTCATTAAATAGTCATGTCCGGAGATTCAATCTAAATATGCTGCTGACCAGAAGGGACTGACCCGGCTAAGAATCGGACATGCTGGGCTTACCCACGAGTTTTTAATAAAGAAATATACTCCAACTCAATGTATTTCCTGCGCGGTACCTCTCACGGTGTGCCATATCCAAAATATCCCCAATGCTATTAAAAACTTAATATTCTTCCTTTCGGAAATCAAAATATTTCACAAAATTCAATCGCGACAATTCAAAATTCAAAGGACTTGAAAACCGGACTTGAAAATAAACTTTTTTATTTTTTTTTATTTCTTAATGACATTTACAACTGTATTAAATAAATACATGTAGTAAATTTGGACATAATAGATATAATGACATGAAAACACTTGCTGAGTAACTACCCAATGGTAGCACTCTAATGATATGACTACATTAGGAGATCACGGGGCCATCATCTTTTCAGACGCCTAGGAAGGTTATCAGGAATGGAAGAGAAAGCAAGGTTAGAAACGAGAGGGTTGGGATGATTCTGAAGTTTATTATGGAAGGATAGGTATCTGGATTGGGCCAGATCTGAAACATTAAGGTCTTTATAGGTGATTTTATTAGTGACAAAGTAAGGAGCATTGAGGATTTTACGAAGGATTTTGGATTGTAAGGATTGGATGCGAGAGAAATTCGATGGTTTAGTGGAGCCCCATAGCTCAACTCCGTAAGTCCAAATATGCCTTATTATAGTCAAGTATATGAGTCTTTTGTAATTAATGGGAAGTTTAGAGCGTTTGTCTAGTAAGTGCTGAAGTAATATTGAACGTCGAGCGGTTTCTAGTCGTTTCAGTCTAGTAAACTTAAAATATTTTTCTAAACTCTTAAAAAAGTGAACCTGTACCACTTTATAATTTCACTAATTAAGCTATAAACGTATCGTAATTTAAAAACTTGTACTTTTAATATACATCAGTTAATTCTTTTTCTGTGATTTTAACATTTAAATTTAAATGCTCCCTTTAAACTGTACATTTTGTAATTGTAAATATACCTGTTAAGTTTTCTAAGTTTGTAAATTCTTCTTCTAATTGTAAATATAACTGTTCATTTTTCTTATTTTAACCTTTAATTTTTAATTTTAATGGTTTTTGTCAAGTTTTATTCTTGTAATTTATAATTTTTAAAACGTATTTTTGTTTAAAGAACGTGTTGTTACAACTGAATAGGTTATTTCTAATTTACGTTGTGAATTCGTTCTTTAAACAAAAATACTAACAACATACACATCCAAAATTTTACATACATAAGACATATTGAATGTAAATCAACAATCAAGATGGTGCCTCTAACCTATAAAGTTGCACATGTCACCTAAAATATAACCAAATAAATAAATAAAACGTATTTTTAGATTTTATTGTTGGAATCAATAACCTTTATTTTAATTGTCTTTGTTAACTTATCTTCTTTTCATCTTTAACTTAACTTTTATAACTTTAATTCAATTGTACCGCCATATTCAACTGTAACTTTTTTTAACATCCTAAACTTTAAATTGTATTTGTTAGTTGTAGTTTTGTTATTTATACCTAAGCAGTAGTTGACCCAATTGTAATACAGAGTGACAATGACCCAGCTTGTTAAAGAGCCCAAAACATTTATAAATAAATAAACAAAAATACGTAAAATCTTTCAACCTACAGATTAAAAAACGCCCCATTTCTGAGAATTTTCGTAAATAAAAATGCTGTTAATTTGATAAAAAGTGGTCTGTCTGTACTGGAAACTGGATATTTCCATATCTAGTATAAATATCAATATTTTTTTCGATTTTTACAAATATCTCTAGACATTTGCAGGAGATTGGCACTTATAACAAATATCATTATTTCTGCCTCAATAATTTAAAAAATATTAATAAATAATAATTGTAACAATATTATAATTTAAATAAGTACCTATATATTTTCGCAAAAAAAAAAAAGATCCTCAGCAGGTCAAAATAAACGAAATTTATTCGTCCCAGTGCTGTGAGTTATCTGCCCCTATCCCAGTGTATACGGTCACAATAAAGCTCGGCTAACTGCCACAGATATAAGCCAACAATTCTGCCACATAAGACTATAAAGCACTTATCTCTTGTGTAACTGCCCTCTGCGGCTTGCGTTTCTCAAACAGCTCTGCCAGCAGTAATGATATGGGGAAAACATGGGTGGTGAAGTGGCATGCAATATAATGCTTTCTAGATCGCCAAGATATTGTGTTTTTGACAATGATGAAAATGAAAATGAAAATTTTTTTTTTTTTAATTTTTTTATTCACACCTGCCATAGTGGTAATGACAACCAGTGAATGTGA